TTTGAATTTGTTGATCACTGGTTTGTAACTAACATAATCCCAAATGTAGCTACTGAACGACCCAAATTCCCTCACAATCTGTAAAAAGATTGAACCGTATTACAATTATGATATATGCCACATCCTGGGATGGTTCATTCTATGCTACATGCAATTTTAACTTTTCTTCCTTTAACGAAGAAATAAGTTAGAAAAAACTTGCCTTTGTTACGCATTTTGCATTGTCTACTATGCACCTAACTCTGCTTTCTGCTAAAGTTAGCTCTTCATTGGAGGCCATTTCAAGGATCTCTTTTTCTTCCATTTTAGACACGTTCTTGGGATCAAAACCAGCAGAAGAATATCTGTGTTATCATTCAAAACACAAGATTGCATTAAGAATCCGATTTTTGTATTAGATAGATTTAATTCAAATTATAAGCAGAATTCTAACCTCAGGAATTCCCTCCTTTTTAAGATTTCTGTCCAGTAGAAATCCATTAGCATCCAAGACATTGCAAGCAGCTCAAACAACTGATTGTCATCATAAACTGGAACTCCTCAGCATTCGTCGTTTGAATTGTACAAAAACTTTTTCTTTTCATTAAATCATGTAGTGTTCATATTACAAGTATCCATAGTAGTCAATTGAATCAACACATACAAGGAAAAAACATAATCGCAACATTTGACCTGTGACAATGCTTAAGTTTAAGATTTTAGATGATATGGTTCAATAGTATACTAATAATGAAAATATGAATTTTGTTTGTCTTTTAACATTGTACATTTATTAGAGCATGTTTTGTACGGTTCGTGCTTCTGCTTTTTGCAGAAGAGCTTCTCGACTCTATGCCATTTTCCTCTAAAAGCTCTTTTAATAAGAAGAAACATCTTCCAAAAATTGTTCAAACAGGTCCAAAAATAGCTTCTTAGTTTTAGAAGCAGCTTTTGACTTTTTAAAGGTCTTTGCAAACGGGCCCTTACAAGCTAAGAAGAGTCTCACGAATCAATGCTGTAGGGAAAAACCATAATCACAACTTTTGACACACAACAAAACTTGAGCTATTAGACAAGTTAATTTAAAAAAATACTAATAACAAAAAATAAGGATTTTGTTTGTCGTTTCATATTATATATAGTCTTCAAAAACTGAGAAGAGTCTAATAAATCAGTTTGATAACCTTACCACTAGTGTTCGTAATCCAGTTGCACCTCCTTATGCCTCCTTCCTCAGTAGGACTTGCACTAGGTTGACGGATAATTTGAGCCACGGGGACCTCTCTTCGTTCAGGTTGCACTATCAATCGTAGCGCTGATAAGATTTTCTGATCAAGTGGAGTGGAAGAATCTGCTGTTAAGTTAGAATCAGTTGAGTTGTGTGACAAAGATAATGACAAAGAAGATAAAGAAAGAGGTGAACAAGTTCTATGTATCCCAATTGGGTAAATTTTCTTTAAGTGTTTGGACAAATGTTACAGTTCGGTTTTTCCTTTTGTTTCGAAATACTTCTGTTCTTCTCCACATCATGTTTTGTACTATAGTGTTTCGACATGCTGGAAGGATAAACAAAATCTATAGATCTGTGCCTTAAAATTGGACAGATTTGAAGTGATTGAAATTTATAAGGATGTCAAGAAGTTGGTAAGAGGAAAAAGTTTCAAAGTACCTTGGTTATCTGCTACTTAAGTTTTAAGCAATATCTAAAGGCATATTGGATTTGTATATTATTTTCAGAAAATGCTTATTGTAGAAACATTCGCACAAGTTGCGGTTGTTTGTCATTGAAATTTATTGAGAACGATACTTAATTTATTGTTGGCCGGTTGTCTAGAAAAGTGAACAATATTTTTACATAACAAATCCATTTGAATACATTGACCCTGAATGTCGAAAGTGCTTATGATGTATTCTCATAGTTTCTATGGGGTGAAAATGATCAAAGCGGTCCACAAGTTTTCCTTCTTTTTCTTTTGTCGCATTTCGCTCAAAGGCTCGGATCTCATATGAAGGACCCTTTGAAAGGCGTGGTCAATAGATGAGAGGAATATTTCTGTAATACTCCATGTCGTCGATATTCTTGCTTCCTCTTCATCTACCCTTTCGCTGCACTACCTCGTTACGACATGACTATAGTGTAAAGGGCTTTTGACAAAGAGCATCGTTTTTAAGTCATTGATAGATGAGAGCAGAAATGTTTATTAAGGGGAAAGAATTAACTAATTTTTGATACTATAGCTTAAAAATGATTATTTCATCCAAGTGCAAATTAAGATATGGTGAAAGTTTTTGATTTCTCAACTGTGAAATGTGCCCTTAACTGAAATCATTATTTCAAAAGCTACTCAATGATTTTCCCACCGTATTTACTTAATTTTGTTTCATTTTCAATCTTGAGAAGCATATTACTAATTGTCTGATTATGGCTAGTGATCTTCTAAAGAATTTAAACATATAAACGCATTTTATGTTCAATAGAGTGGACTAAATAAGATGAGACAACGAACAAATATTTTACTTGTATGCTATTGCTCAACATGTCGTCGATTCATATTGATGGGTAGTAGTATCACATGCTCGAGCTCTAGCTCCAAGCTCGGGCTTAGAGTTGAGGTCGGGGTTTTCATAGCAGTCGGGGTTGTATTACTTTCGTCCGGACTCCTTGGCCTCGTCTCATGTTCCATAGGGATGCTAATCCTATTTTAACTACCAACTCCCCAATTTTCTTATTTAATACAAACTCTCAATCTATTACAAATTTGCGTCTAACTCAAATTGTGCACTTCTAACATAACCCAAACACCTTGTATAACAAGGATAATGATTATAGAAAGTTGAATCTTTTTAAGACTCCATCTCCAACAACTATAAATACATGACCTAGCCTCTTTATTGAAGTACTTTTTAAATAAAATTCCAGTATACAGCTTCTTGCAAAATTTCTCTTTCTGACTTAAGCATCGAGGGGATAACGATGATACATCTCGACGCCTTTGTTTCAAGTATTGAAGATCAGATCGTGCAGAGTTCAATCATCCAGTTCGAGTTCATTCAGGTACAAGTTTTTCGTAGCATCACATATATTTGATGATTTCCACTTTTTAGTTGAAGTGTCACCTCGATGAATTACATGTGGGTGCAATATTAAACTTAAGTCCCACTCATTTACCATAGAGGAATGAGGCAAACCCATTGCCTACAAAGACAAGGATATATCATCTTTTGTATTTCTTTTACAGAATATATTAAAAGACAAAGACTAATATAATATTAATACAAATAATTTATTCTTTGTCAACAAAGATAGGAAATACTTAGAATTGAGTTTACATAAGTTATTAGTAGGTATTGTTAAATAATGCCTTAAAGTAGTGGTGCAGTAAAATTATAAATAGGTTTAGTCCCAAGTCCAAG